CATCATGTCAACATAGTGTATTGATACTTCTGGTAGTTGATTCAAGCATCGCTACTGAAAGCCACAGTGTTGTATCTCACTACACTACACTACCTGCAGTACCTGCAGTACTGCAGTAATATCTTTGTGCCCATGAGACAGGTTTAGGAAACGGCTGCCTCCCAATAATTTTCTAAATGTAACACGAAATGGATTTTAATCAAGCTTCTTTTCAGTATCTAAATTCATAAAAAAAATCGCATTTCTTCCCTCCCCAGAATTATAAAGTGCAGTAAAGTTTCATAAAGCGGGACGCAAAAACAAACGACCTCTGTTTTCTGTGTCCACGCCTCTAGGTGACCCAAACACACTGTTGTTGCTACCACCTCCATGTTGCTACCTTACAGAGGCGGCGGCGGCGGCACTAAATTTTGCATGAGGGAGTGAGATCTGCTCACCAACCTTGCCCAGCGAAGGCGTGACTTTACTAGAGGGTCCGGGCATGCTCTAGACTCTCTGAAACGCAATTTCCCGCATTTTGAGGGGCAAATTTTGCTAAAACAGGGGGTTTCAGCTTGATTTTTTCGAGGAGGCGGCTGCACCTTCTGCCCCCCGTGCCGCCGCCACTGCCTTATACTTGTATACCCAACGATATTACAGCACATATAGTAAATTCTGTAACCGAGGCTTGCTTTTTCACCACCTCCATCAACAATAATTACTAATATTGATGAAATCCCCTTAAGCCGTAGACACATTAATTTACGTACAGACAATGTCCCGTGGGTGATTTTGATTTATATATAACCTGAGTGTACCCATCTCAGTCACGGTGGTAACTCTGGACAGTACTAAAATACCCAATCCCAAACATTAGATACAAAGCTCGATCAAACATTGTAACATTCAGTGCAATACAAACACACTAACTGGGTTAACTTCTTTACTAATTGAATGATATATATATGTATATTAACTTGCCAAAGTGTGATTACAAAATAAAAAAAAAAAATATATGTAAATAATAAATTAATAAAAAAAATACGAATAAATAATAATTAAATCCATAGTTAAAGAAAAAAGGAATAAAATTATGAAAATACTCTATACAATACTCTCAATGTATGTCTTTCGTTTGATTTGACACCCCCCCCCCCCCAATTTCAATGAGCCTGAAGGTGAATGCTGAGAGGATGCTGGGTAACGCTTGTTTGGACTTTGCGTTACGTCTTAATGTTCAAACTAATATGTTTTGCGCGGCAGTAAAAGAACACAGTACACATGTTTCTCATTCATGTGGGACCTAGTACGTGAGAAAAAACACATAACCAAGGATTTAATCAAACAACTGGTCGTCTGCGCGATTACATGATTACGCCACCACACAACAACACTGTAAATAAACTCCCACATTCCATAAGTGTCAAAGGTCAATATTAACTTTACGCGCAAAGCAGCAAGTCCGGGAAGTTAACTAAAACAAGTTGTGAAGATAGGCTGAATGAATCAGATCTCCAAACAGGCGTGTTGTGTGTAAGAGTCTGGAATTTGTGTGGGTCGATCTGAACAGCGTTTGTAAGTTTATATACAGGAAGTCCGAAAGACGACTGCGGTTAGCTGCTTCCCGCTGATTTCCTAATACTATTGTTTCCATGGAATGAAACACAGGAAGGGAGAGGGGGTGATAGAAGACTGTCTATTTTCTTCCGTTTCTTATGGACACCGTAACTTGCATTGCTCTGTGTGTTTGATCAAAAGGTCTTTTGAGTTAAATCTGCACATTTTACCTGATCGGCGTGGAGTACTTTGTAACAAGACTGAAACATGGAAATAATCCGAAAAGAAATAGGAACAAAATCGTCTTGTGAAATCCTGTCAAGGACAAAATGGCAGTCACGCGGAGCAAGCTTAATATTTATTTTGTCCTTTATCATTGCGAATTTCTGTCTCGTTGGAGCTCAGAAAGCGAACACAGACGCTGCTGTCACCGATGCTCATGATATATATCCTTATATTATATTGCCTGTATCCGATTTTTTTCTCTGGGCTGCCTCGCCGTGGAGTGAGTGCAAACTAGTCAAATCCGATGTCTGCTGTGACGATGGATGTGGTCGAACTAGAAATGTGTACTGCATTGACGCTCGTGACGGTAAACGAGCACCCATGTATTACTGCCAGAAACTTGAACGACCGGTTGCGATCCAGTCTTGCTTAAACTGTTCAGAGAAATGCGTGACCAGCACATGGTCTACTTGGTCGACGTGTAGCTCGACGTGTGGACCAGCGACCAAGTATCGGAGCAGACGCGTTCTCCGCCTGCCGACTGAATCGGACAGCCAATCTTGCGGAGCACTTTCGGAATTCCGCGACTGCACCGATCTGTCTCCTTGTCCCGAACCTGTTTATACGTGGAAAATCGGGACATGGACAAGTTGTCGTAAGGTGAGTACACGATTGAGTAAAACGAAATGCTTTTATTGAGACGAACTAAAACCATATAAATGAACAAAACAAAAAGACAATGTGCTATGAATTGAATGGTTTCCTTCAACCTCGAGCATACACACTTTTACTGGCAAGACACACAATGAAGTGAGACAATGTCTATTTTTCAGTTTACATGTTTTAATTTTTTTATGATATTTAAATTTTTCAGAATTTCGGAAGTATTTTTATTACCTAAACTGATTTTAATTTGTAGAGAAGTGTAATACTTACGACTTTAATAGGCACCAGTCAAACATTGATTCGTTTTTGTGACATTTAGTTATTGTACCAGGATTTTGTTTATTTTTTAGCGAAAAATGTATTTTTCCTTTCTCACAGCTTTCACAACTTCATAATTATTATGTTATCTCCAGGTATCAAACTTTTAAGTGGTTGATTGCCTTACAGGCATGGTAATGTCAGGGGAGTGTGACCTTTCACCCTGGGAGCATAAATAACATCACAAAACAAAACAAAAAGTCTCCCGCCAGCTGCCCCTTCTGTTTGACAGGGTCATTTCCAACAAATACTTTAAATATACAGTAGCGCTAGCCATGCATGTGTTAAATTATCAAAGTCATGGTGAATCATTGTACCCAAGTACAGTTAGTCTACGTACTATGAGTTTTATGGTCGTCCTCTTTCTGTAGTTCCAAGCAACCATGGAGAATCACTTGAAAATCACTTTGTTCATTTGAACAAACTGAAGAACTAAAAATGTAGTCCAACAACAGATCCAATCCCAGACCCGAGTTTTGTGTTTGTTTTTTTTAATTACATGCATGATCCCTGGGTATTAAATTTATTTTACTGTTGTGATAAAAAGTTAATTCTTTAGCATCCGTGGACAAATCTGAAATTTCTGGTATACTGGTATACACTTTCTGTATATTTTTCAAAACAAACTACTGAAGTAACAGATGAACATCCTAACCCCCCCCCCCCCCCCCAATTACAATGTGAAATACTGGGGTCACCATAAACTTGTGTTTCTGTTAATTGTTCTCAGCTGGCTCACTGAAATAATAGTCTTTGTTCCCCCTCCAGGGATGGGACATTGACCACTTTATTGTCAAGATTTGCATTTTCAATAAATCATTTAATTAAAATCTGTCATTCTTTGTGCGTGACATCATGAAATCTGGTGATTAAAATCGAATATCTTCGGCTTAGTGATTGATGTGTTGCCAAAATACGTGACAAGTATCTCCTTTTTATTAGATATTCTGTCTTGGGAATTCTATGGTTCCTGAGTGAGCACAAGTTATGAATAATTAAAAAACTTTTTATAAATTATAACACTCTGGCTGCTAAGTGCTTGACGCACTGTATTAACCAATCACAGACCTGGTTGTATTTCGTTACCCAAGTTTTAACTGAATGAGTCATATAATATAAGTTCAATTTAGTTAAATCGATACTTACAGGTAATACTGTAATTTACTAGTGTAAAACTACAAAATAAATTGTAAAAATTATTTTATCTCATTCTCAGCATTGGCATGTCTGTACTATAGATACATGTATACCCGTAGAATGTACTGGGTGCTGTGGCAATGCTTCTAAAAATGTGACATGGAATGTTGAAATTCTCACTTCCACTCATGCTGTCATTCAACTGCATATGATACTTTGTTATAACTTAATTAATGTAGTCTTTATAATACTAGTATTGCACTTTAGGTAAAGCCAACTCATAAATAAGAATGCCCAGATTTTATCGCATTTTGCAATAAACTCTTCTCCCTACCAAAACATGTATATGTATGTTGAAAAACACAGTTCGGGTCACCAGCCAAATGTTGGCAAATTTTACCAGTTATGAAATAGTTTTAGCAATTGGTTATTAAGGTGGTTATATTATCCCAAATTTGTGTCCGGTTGAACAATTTTATATGACTAATGGGCAACTTTGTTATTCTGAATTATTCCAAAAATCTGGGTGTTAAAAAGGGCATTCTATAGAATTGTTCTAGAAATTTTTAACTAATATTCTGATAAATTTCCCAGAATACAGTATAGTTTGTGTAACACATAAGAATGCTGTTTCACAAACATCTAACAAATTATGAGTACTCCACTACCTTAAAAGAAACTACTACTGTAAATAATTATAAAACTGACTTTTTCAAAAAATAAAAAATATTACTTTCATGCAAATGAGCTAAAAATTATTTATTTCTATGCAAATTAGCCAAGGTCATTCAACCAATGGACTTATTTTGCGTTAAAACATGAAAGATGAAGTGACACTGGTTCTAATTTGATAAACAATTTTTATCAGGAACAAAAAATGATTAATTCTGGAATACAACAAGCAGTGCAAAATTTGTTGCTGTTTTAAAATCATTAGAAAATAACAAGTACTCCTTTGTGATTTACCAGCCTAAAAGAACCTTTGACCTCAACTGACCTTGATGTTATACACATGGAAGAGTGCTATGAATTGAAATTAAGTGAAGCAACTATTGTGTATAATATACGACCTAAGAGATTGAGAGATGTTATCAAGTTTACACAGTGAATTGAAATACCGGCTTTTAAAGTGGCTTGAATTGGGTATTATTTTAACTTCAATAGATGTCACTCATTAGACGTGCACTCAGTTGATCTACTCCACCAAATTGAGACGAATGCCAGAACAGTAGCCATTCACATTCAAATCACAAAGGATGAAGATTACAAGCGAATCCATTAGATATTAAGTGGGCGGTAGAGAACTGTAAAAAAAGCAATTTTATTTGTTTCACTCAAAGGGTGTATATTATACATATGTAAGTTTTAATAACTATTATTATTTCACTCACAGATAAACGCAACCACTGTTAATAATTCAACGTGTGGTGTGGGTCAACGAAGTCGCTTTGTTACGTGTCTGGATGAGAAGGGCCTGCAAGTAAATCATTCACTGTGTCTGAAAAGTTCACTAGGTAAGTTTTACTGTGTCAGGTAAAATTGTGTATTGTCTCAAGCACCAGTCAGGATTCCTTAATTAATTTCGCTTTTTAAAAAAAAAAAATGATTATTGTTATTCACTACCTGGCTCATGAGTTTTAAACATTCAATATTCAGATACAAGTAAGTTAACAAAGTTTATGATGTATCAAACTAATAACTTGTGCATTGCAATGTTAAGGTAATTAATGGTAACTGTAGTAACCTACCAAGTTCTAGGTATTAAAATACTCCCATATAACAGCATGAACCAATCAGCACTGCCGAATAATTAATTAATTTTCATAAAATAACAAATTATTGCTCCCTATCTACCTACTTTTATTTTTAATTTTAGTAAAACACACTACTTTTGGCCAAATAAATACATTTTTTGTTTTACTTACATGCCATATTACCGGTAGTACTATATGGATCCAAATTATTTCAATTAGCTACTTGTCTAATTTGCCTTACTTTTTAGCTCCGCTGTCGACTTTGTCGAGCGGAGCTTATTATATGAGTGATTGTCCGGCGGTGTCCGGTGTCTGTCGTTCGTGTCAATGTTTTACTTTTTCGACTTCTTCTTGAAAACTACAAGCCTGAATGCTTTGATACTTGGTGAATATTTACCTTGGGTAGACCTCTCTCAGATTTGTTCATTTCATGATCATATCTTTAATTCTCTAATTTTGGTGAATATTTTTGTCATTTTTGGTAAAAAGTGATATTTTCGACTTCTTGTTAAAAACCGTAAGTCCAATTGCTTTGATATTACATATA